ATGATAGGTCCTTCGGGACATAATTTATACGAGCTGTGGTGACAACATATGTGTGCACAACCTCAACGTACTCACATACCTCTATTCTCAATAATATACATGGGCAATACAATTTAAAGATAAATTAAAGTGAAAGTGGCACAAGAAAGTAAGTTTTACACGTGCATGACATGCTTATATATGTTATCGTTAATAGATACATGCATGTGGAAATGTCATGATCAAATGATAAGAATACATATTCATGAATTTGTTGTTAAATGTTTATTTATTGCCTCACTAAGTCTATAAATTAGCTTGTAAGTGATTTACACGTAGGTACCAAGAAACGAGAAGAGCAAGAATAGAAGTGGCAAGGATAGTATTATTACTAGAAGATCAGATCAGAAGTAATCGACAAAGTATGTATTTTGGTGTGTATAGAGTGTTGGCATGTAATAAGTCGTTAATTACGAGTACTCTGATGGAGTTTGTATTTTGTGGTATTTTTTTTATGTAAATTAACGTATTTTGCTTTAAACAAAGTTTTAAATTTCTCTGTTTTTCAAAAGAGTCAAAGTTTGAAAAGTCAATGTGACACCTCAGACTTGTATTCGAGTCGGGTACGGGTTGGGGTGTTACAGTTTAAGGATTCATCATTATTAATTTCACTCATTTGATTGATTTTTTGATTATCATTATTAACTTCATCGATGTCAACTAAAATTTAAACCATTCAGATTCAAGATGTGTCCACACAAAGGACAAAGATAATGCGCAAACACAAAGAAAAATTTGTGTTATCCATTACTTGGGTACACAAGTTGTCTTATCACACTACATTGACTTTTTAAAAAGTTCATCATGAGCCTATAAAACTTGTAAATGGTTTTTAAAATCTAATTATTAGAATTTCTACACCGAAATTAGTGAATCTATGTCTCACATTAAAATTAAAGTAAAAAAATCATTGCACAAAGGATTTTGAAATCTATATTTTAAAATTGATAAGAACCTCATCTTTGGTGTAAATTCCCCTTGGTTATTTCCCAACATTTGTTTGTTGATTTGTTGTGCTTCGTTGTACACAAAAATGATTAAACTCAAACAAAATAAATATATCTTAAGATTGTTAGATAAATCATTAATCCAAAAATAAAATAGTAAAATAATGATAATATTGTTTAAATATTATTATAAAAATTAAAGATAAATTTCAAGTTTCATATGTCTTAAGATTGTTACAAGTATAAAAATCTGAGACAATAAAAAAAATAAAAATAAAAATTATTAAAATATAAAAGAAAGAGTATATAAATAAATATTTGATTTTTGACAGAATAAACGAATGAGAACGAGTTGAGCCATGTAGCTACACAATTTTCTTAAGACAACTTTTTGATTTGTCCTTGGTACTTGAATTTGTAGAAAATTGTGTTGAATTGTGTTTAACCCAAAAAGGTTTACACACTATTTATAATGTTTTTTCGGAGAAAATAATATATGATTAAAATTAAAATATAACAATCCTTTCAGAACTACAATATCATATTTTAATCAAATATAAATCCATGAGTTTAATCGAATACAACTTCATGAATTGCATAATATTATTATGTTAATATTTGAATTTAATGAAATTATAAAATATTCTTTTAATTCAGAATATTTAAAAAGACATGTCAATTTGATTATCTTATGACTTTTGCTCCTATAGCAATAAAAAATCTTTTTTCTTTGATAGTTAATTTTCAGTGGAATTTACAATAATTTGATAAGAATCCATTCCTCCACAGTATTATTGAAGAAGAAATTTACATAAAAGTTCCTCTTGGTTTTGAATCTAAGAAGAAAGCACTTTATGGTTTCAAATAGTCTTCACGAATCCATTTTGAGAGATTTACTAAGTCAATGATCTCACTAGAATATAAACAAAGTCAAGGTGATCATACATTATTCACAAAACACTCAAAACTCTAGAAAAGTTACAACATTTCTAGTGTATTTAGATGAAATCATAGTTACAAGAAATGACATTGAAATAATGAAGAACTTGAAAGATTGTCTTTTGTAGGAATGTAACACCTAAAAGCTAGGAAAGTTGATATACCTCTTAGGCATTATGGTAGAACATTCAAAGTAAAAGATTTTCACCTCTCAACAAAAAATTATGCTTGACTTATTGAAAGAAACTTGCAAAATAGTTGAGACACCAATTGAGTTTAATCATGGGTTATTTGATACACCAGAAGAATCTATGATGGATAGAGGATCATACCAAAGGCTAGTTAGATATTTAATATGTTTGGCATGCACAAGATTATATATAGCCTTTGTAGTGAGTATTCAACCAACTTATTCATGGTAAGAAAAATCACATCTCAAAGCAGTAAGTAGGATTCTACAATACTTAAAAGACAACCTAAGAAAAGGAATTTTGTTCAAACATAAAATAAACTCAAACATTACACTAAAAAACATATATAGATGAAAATTATTCAGGATCTTTACTTGATAAAAAGTCATCATTTGAGTATTATATAATTCTATGAGTAAATCTTATAACATTGAGGAGTAAAAGAAAGAAATGTAGTAGAAAAATTAAGAGCTAAATTAGAATTTGGATTGATGATTTTAGGAGTACGTGAATGAATCTGAGTATAGATAATCCTAGATGACCTAAGAATAAGGTGGGAAGGAACCATGGATTTTACTATTATAATAAATCAACTATTAATATTATTCACAATCTTATTCAATATTATCGAACAAAATATATTAAAGTTGATAGGCATTTTATTAGATAAAATTATACATTAATATAATTTGTACTTCATTCATATCTACCAAAGGCTAGTTGACAAATGTGCTTACTAAAAGTATGATAAATCAGGTTTTTCGAGAAATACTAAACAAGCTGGGAATGAAAGATACCCATTCATTAACTTGAGGAGGAATGTTAGAATCTAATGTGTAGAAGTCTTGTGTGTTTATGAGTCTTTTATGGTAAGAAAGTACAAGTCTTAGGAGTCGTTGTAATCTCCATCTCTAGACATTATTCTATCTTTAATGAAAAAAGTCTTATTAGAAGTTATAGACTCATTTTATTTAACAAATGTAATCTACTATTTAATAATTAAATTTATCTTGCATCATCTCTTTTATTTTCTCCTATCTGATAACTGAATCATTGTTATTTGGCGTGACGCCATTTAATTATTATCATTGATTAATATCATGTATTTAGTTGTTAGGTTTGTTATCATTATATTCCTCGTACACTTTGAGAGTTGTGTAGAATATTTTGTTTTTCAGAAGAAAGTGAACCGTTACATTACATTTGTCATCAGTATGTTAATTAATATTTATTAACATTTTAACCTTATATGGATATATGTTTATTTTACTTGGTTATAATAATTTTAATTATTTAAATAATATTATCTTAATTAATTGGAATTCTTAATAATGCAGAAATTAAATTAAAATATTTTAAAATTTAGTTGTTCCTTTAAATAATATTGGTTGTTCTTTTTAGTTGTGCCTTTAAACTATTTTATTTAACAACTAATACCTTAAAATTCTATTTATTTTAAATAATTCCTTTTTGGATGATCAATATTTTTATGATAGGATAACTTTAACAACACAATTGAAAAAACAAGCATGATTTCTTTTGTTATTATGCCTTTATCTCAAATCGATTGATAATTTTATTTTAAGGTAAATTATCTCTAAGGTCACTAAACTATTGGCCTGTTTCTATCTTGACAAGTGAACTGAGTTTTTTTTATCAATTAAGTCACTAAACTTTCAATCCAAATTCAATCAAGTCTTCCACTATTAACAATTTACCTAATTACTAACATGGTAATTAAATAAATTTATATAATAGTTCATTTAATCCTCATTACTTGCATAATATATCAATTTGGTATTAATTTTAGTTAGAAATAATTTAGTAAATTTATTCCTCCAATAAAATGATGTTAATATATATAATGTTGTTAATTATAAACCAAAATATGAGAGTTGGTTTAGTGATTTAGTGGTTAGGTGTGTTAATTATCTTATAATTAAAATTATGATCCAAATTGATATATAAGTAATAAAGACCAAATGTGTGATCTTGGAGGTAGTTTTTCCTAAATGTGTCATTGCATTTATAATATTATTTTTTATAGAAAATAATGTTATTTGAATGATTATAAAATAGGGAAAAACAATTTTAAAAATTAACTAAAAGAAGTATGAGATTTTAAATAAGATAATTATAAATTATATTCTAATTTTATATTTCTCGACTACAATTTTTTTAGATATCACTACATTGTTGAACTTATAACTTACTAGCACATAACATGCTATATAAAAATTTAAAATTAATAAATAATAAATTTTGATGCACTCATGATGAGAATGAAAAAATATTGTATATAAAAAAATATTTTTTTTATAGAAAATACTTATATATATATATTTATGCATTTTATGTTCATTTTTTTATTAATCTAGGGTGCTTACAAGTTGTAGTATCTATTCTAAAGACTTTCAACCATTTGACAATAAACGCTCAAATACCTTCCATTGTGTTCGATTATTAAGTATTGATTTTTAGTTGTTTTATTTAAAGATAAGACAAGGTTATATATCAATAGTGAAAAAGGACATAATAACAAGAGAGTCCTCAATATTTATTTATTTTTTAAAATGTAGCCTTAAAATTGTCATACCGTATTAACAAAAAAAATCATTTACAAAGGATTTATTTTTAAAAATTGAAAATTTAAAGTTTAAATTAAAAAAATACAATTAAGAAGAGGGGCAAACATTGAGTTTATTGACCTTGACGTTTGAATATGGTGATGAATTTATTGACCTCGTCCAGATTCATGCACTATAATTATTAATGGAGAATTAATTAAAGAGAATTGGTGACACGCGCGGAAGAGTAACGTGAAGTTTCTATGTAAAAGAATGTAGCAGACGGCATAAACCACTAGGCATCGAGCCAGGCTGACAAAAACCAAACGGGAAACCTTTGTTTTATATATATTTGGCGAAGAGAAAATCATCCAATCGGCGTTAAGTTTTAGAATTAGAGGAATCTGGTTTTGCGAAGAGAAGAAAAAGGCTGGGATCGTCTTTGTTTTGTTTTGTTTCTGAAGGAAGAGAAAGAGAGGTTGAAAAAGCTTCAAAAATGGCGGTTTTTAGAGTTTCACGAGGTTTGATTATTGACGGTTTTGTTTGATTTTTTTATCAATGGAAATGCCCAGTCGCAGATCCAACTACTCGCTCCTTAGTCAGCATCCTGACGATCAGTATTCCGTGTCTCTATCAGGAGGCCCACCGCCGTTTTACGATTCGCTTTCCAGCGAAGCTACGACTAGTAGAATCAGCAAAGTGAAATCAGAGAGAGGTTTATTGGATTGGGATCAGAATCAGAGTCAGAACCAAGGCCAGAACATGCAGCTAGCGAGTCGAATCGGTGGAGGAGGGAATACTTATGGGTCGTCAATCGGGCATCAACGGCACTCGAGCGGGAGTAGTTTCGGTGCGAGCTCGTTATCTGGAGATTATTATGTGCCTACGCTTTCTACGACGGCGGCGAACGAAATTGATTCATTCGTGTACGGCTACGATGGGAGCTTTAGGCATGGGGAATTTGGAACGAAAGTTGGGGGTTCGTCGTCGGGGAAAAGCTGGGCGCAGCAAACGGAGGAGAGTTATCAGTTGCAGTTGGCGTTGGCTTTGAGGCTTTCTTCTGAAGCTACCTGTTCTGATGATCTGAATTTTTTGGATCCGATTCCGGATGATTCTGCAATTCGGTCGGCTAGTTCTAGCTCTGCGGAGACAGTTTCGCATCGGTTCTGGGTAAGTTTCCTTGAGAATTTATTTGCTTTATGTTTCTTCGCACTATGAGCTTGTTTTAATGAACCAATGTTCATCAACACCAGGAGATTGAAAAGAAATATGAATAGCTGAATATAATAAGTGTTACAGTGAATGTAGTTCATTTTAGATATTTTAAAGATTTTCCATGAGATAACCTGGATAATAGGCGTGAATTCTGAGCTTGAGTTGTGATCCCGAATTATGCATAGGATAGGTCCGATAGGATGTGAAAAGTTGGTTGGAGCTATCATTAGTTTTCCAATTGTTCAGGCTTAGTCCAATTTGGACTTCGGGGGATAAGATGATCAGTTGCCATTTTTGAAAATAATTGTTATTTGCAATTAAGAAAATGAATATTATAAGGTGGAAGTAGTTGCTTAATTCCGTGATCAAAATGTAGCAGCGTCAATGTTAGTGCCACATAAATTGTGGTTGAACTATTATTACTCTGGTGAGCCTGCGTAGATGGATGTAGTATTAATGGGGCACATGTATACTAAAGAACTATACTTGCCTTGACAAGAATCATTTACAAATAAAAATGCATGTGAAATGGTTACTCACTTTTATTTCCTTTTCTCTTTTGTTTAAATAAGATGGGGATTCCATTCACCAATTAGATAGTAAAAAATGTTTGTTTTGATAGTAGATTTCAGGTACGCTATTTAGAAAAATAATAATGTTTAGAGGTTAAAATGTTGAAATGAGAAAAGTGCTGTCTTAGATAGACGCCAGTAAAGATGTCTACTAAATAATGGGTGCGTGTGAAAAGGGTTTATGCAAATTATATTGCTAATGATGATCGCTATGATATTTTCTGAGTGTATCTATTTTGTATCCTATGTTATTTGTTGTCAACGTGGGTTAATTAAGAGTATATAAGTTGCCTGGCATTTGAAATACACGCGCACAGATTAGGGAAGTTAGTGAAGTTTCAGGATTGCGCTGATAATAATTTGGATATTCAAGTATACTGTTACATGCATCAGGTTAATGGCTGCTTATCATACTTCAACAAAGTTCCTGATGGGTTCTATTCAATGCATGGATTGAATTCATATGTCTGGATTGTGTGCACTGAATTGCATGAACACGGTCGAATTCCATCAATTGAATCTCTAAGATCTGTTGATCCAAATGTCGATTTGCCACTAGAAGTGATATTAGTTGACCGAAGAAGTGATCCTGGCTTAAAGGAACTCCAAAATAGAGTCCACAACATTTCTTGTAGGTGCATAACCACAAAAGAAGTAGTCGATCAGTTAGCGAAGCTTGTATGCACTCGCATGGGGTGAGTCTTGTATACCATGAATGCACAAATTTTCGACATTCATGCAATTTTGTTTCACATTGGTGATGAATTGTTTTATTTCTTTCCCAAGGGGTTCAACCACTACTGGAGAAGATGACTTTGTTTCCTTTTGGAGGCAGTGCAGTGACGATTTAAAAGATTGCTTAGGTTCAGTTGTGCTTCCTATAGGAAGCCTATCTGTTGGCCTTTGCAGACATCGAGCTTTACTATTCAAAGTAAGGGTCTTGACATTTTATGGTGTTTTATTTCACCTGAGAGGTTATATTGGTATTTTTGGCTTTAGTTATAGTTAATATGGTATGACTTGACTTTTTCTTTTGCCAAAGATTATACAACTTTACTACATCTAAGTAGGAGCAGGTTCCTTTTATAAAATGTGTTCCCCTTTAAGCGGTGAGGATTCATTCATGGTTCAACTATAATTTGTGCAGGTGCTAGCAGACACTATCGATCTACCATGTCGAATTGCGAAGGGCTGCAAATATTGTAAAAGAGATGATGCTTCCTCCTGCCTTGTTCGCTTTGGACTTGACAGGTAGCTTAACCATCACTGTGGTATTTTTTTTGCCTTAACTTTTTTTTATTTATAACCCTTTTAATATTTTTTATTCTTTAAAAATTCTGATCCTCTTTTGGTATAATTTGTGTTTGAATGGCAATATTTTGCTGACAAAACAAACCTAGCAAATTTTAATTGTTTTCACATGGAAACTAATTTTTTTTTACCTCACTTGCATGATGTCTCTGCATTGCCGATTGTGTCTCTTTCTTCATTTTGATCTATGATTTGTGAAAAAGTTAGTTTATAACTATCTTGGTAAAATATTTGCTGTATGAGAGAAAAATTTCACCAAGCCTGCCTTTGTGATTTCAGGGAGTATCTTGTTGATTTAATTGGGAACCCAGGTTACCTATGCGAGCCTGATTCCTTGATCAATGGTCCATCTTCAATATCAATTCCGTCCCCATTGCGTTTTCCATGTCTCAAACCAGCTATACCTGCCATTGATTTCGGGTCATTGGCCAAACAGTACTTTTCGGACTGTGAATCACTTAATCTTGTATTTGATGTTGCTCCAGCAGGTAAAGTTTCAGTTATCATCTATTTAAACTCTGAATCACTTGTTAATAACCAGAGAAACAAAATAGGGAGAAAGAATTAATCATTCTTTCTGTATAAAACTCAGAAATTACAAGAACGTAGTCATCTATCCTATGCAACTAGCCAGTCTGTCAAAAATAATTATAGAATAAAATTCCTAATTGTTGGTAAATTAATCTTAAACAACCAGTAACTTATGATTTGCATAAGTGGTATAAAGCAACAAATGTCCCTACATGTGAGTATGTAAGGGCAGCTGCCTTCCATATTTTTACTCTAGTATCAAGCAACAAATATGTCCTGTAAATGTGTGATTCAATTGCATTGTTGAGCCATGACATCATGAGGGAATTTTCTGAGTCCTACTGATCATAAGTAGGAACGTTCTCTTTGGGCCTTTTTAAATGTCCAGTAATATACCCCTGGCAATCATTTGGCCTTGATGAACAACAAATGTGATTTCCACAATGTAAGATAGTTGTTCCCATCAAGCTTTACGAGGCTGATTTGCAGAGGGGTTGTTGAGGCTAATTATTTTTTTGTTCTCTGCCATTTCCTTATTTCTCCTTCAAATATAAAATAATAAGGCAGAAAAAATAATCCAAGAAAAAAGGACTTAAAAAAGAAAAGCTTTAAGCAAAGCATCTAACTAGCCCCAATCAGTAGGGGGTGGGGGTGGAAAAAGCCCAAGGAAGATGATGATAGGAGAAACCACCTCCACGGGGGTTTGCGTCACGCGCCGCGTGGACAAAGGCGCCAAATCTTCTGATGGCACATGAGGCTTACATGTAGAGAGAGAGAGGTGGTCAGACTCTTGGGTTTTCCTGGAAATGTGGCTGAGGGTCTCCTAAGGGTGGCGGGGAGAAGAAATAACTGGGTTAAGGGTGTAAGTACCAAGATTTTGTTTTCCAGGGTTTGAGTGAAAAAACAAATTTTGGTCCCTAAATTGTAATTCTAGGCTACAAAAATAAAATAGGGAGAAAGAACAATTCACTCTTTATGTATAGAACTCATAAGTTACAAGGTATTTATACAAGACGGTAGTCACCTATCTAAGGCAACTACCTAAGCTTTCAAAGGAATACTTGCATAATAAAATCCATAATTGTTAGTCAATTAGTTCCAAAAAATAAGTAACTGATGATTGCATAATCTGTAATAGCTGTCATATAATAAATATCACTTGATCTTGCATTTGCATGTTGCTTCACCAGGTAAAGTTTCAGTTACCATCTACATGAAGCGCTTTAATGAATGCCCTTTATTTCCTTTGAGATTATAGACTTTAGCCTTCCATTTGGCCTGAAAGTATCTAGTTTTGTTTGATCATCTGCTAGGGAATGCAGAAAGATTTTTCATATTTGGTGAAGTGCCTTCACTGGTATGCTGTACGTTAAAGTTTGACTGCACTGTTTCAAGTTTTTGTAGGTTTTTTTTGGCATTTTCACTGACGGTATTTGTCTTCTATTTTAACCGTTTCTTATGAATCTTCTATTGAGATTTAGACAAGGCCTTCTGTTGAGAATTTTCTACTGGAGCCTGATTCAAGCTTTGTCTTAAATATTGCTTTGAATTACGGGGGGAAAACCCAAAAAGTGTCGCAGTTTTTATCTGAACAAGCATTAATAAATACATATTTTCAATTGCTCCTTCTTGTTGGTTGCACTTTTATAACCTCTTTGAGGCTGCATTTCTATATCTGCAAATACATTAAAATTTTGTTAATGAACACCGGACTGTGTTTTATGAAGAAATATAGTGTTTTATATGAACTATGTTTGTGACTTAAAATATGATACCTTTTCTAGTGATTCATCCATAACTATGTAAAATTGTGGTTCAACTTTTGATTCCGTATTCATCCGGTGTCTAATTAAGCTATAGTTTTCCATTTCAGGTGCTACTACAAATGAAGAAAATTTTGGATTCTCTCTTTATCCCAATAAACACGATAAGATTGACACAGAGAGAAATAAGCTTGTGCAGATTTCAAGTAATATAGATGGTATTTCACTGTTGCCCCAACCTAACATTGCTCGGCCAACTTCTCACGATAGAGATTCCCAGTATTCTCAGCCTATAGTACACTCAAAGAACATTATTAAAGATCCTTCAAAGCACATCTCTCTGGTAGGACATAAGGATGTCCCAGCAGTTGTCTTGTCTGAACCGATGGGGTGTGTGGCTAAGGATTCAAGGTTTACTGAGGGCAGTGAGCTTGTACCCAGCAAACCAAGTAGGGAACTTGCCCTTGAAGTTGATGATTTGGATATTCCGTGGAGTGATATTGTTTTAAGAGAGAGAATTGGTGCTGGTATTCCCTGGTCCTCCTTTTTTGTGAAGATTTTTACAGTATAGAGACCCTCTATTGTGCTCATAATCCATGAAGTTGCGGTTATACAAGTGTACTTAGGTTTATACATTGTTCTTTTCAGGTTCTTTTGGAACTGTCCATCGTGCTGAATGGAATGGCTCAGTAAGTATCTTTTTAATTATTGTCTTGCTGTTAAAGTTAAATGTTATAGAAGTTTTATATTTGATATCTGCTGTGCCATGTTGTCCATGCTTCATGGTTAACATCTGCTTTCTTGTATTTCAAAATTCTTGTTGTCTTATTGAGAAAATGCAACATTAGGCATTTATATTTGATAAATGGAAGTTGATATATTCAGTAACATGTGCTATAATTGTGAGCATTGATTTAGTAGTTAGGGGTAGTTAAGGAATTTTAGTTTTCTATAAATTGGTGAATTTTAGATTTTCTATAATATGGTGTTCCATGCAGTCCACTTTAGGTGCAAAATCTACGTTATCTTTTTTCTTATCTTTGGATCAATTCCTACACTATAATTTCTTAAGATTCAAATCGAAATGGGCTTGAATTTTAGAAACTCTTTCTCACTGTTGTTCACTTCAGCTCACATCAATTGACCATTGAAACTAAACTCTCAAATCCAAATTATTAATCTTGATACTGTTTTTGCATGTTGTAGTACCAGACTCCTTTTATTCTATAGACCCTTCTAAGCCAACCTTTCTATTTCTGACATGCTCGTTCTCTTTTAGCTATATCGATAAATGGAAAAGGTTCAATAAGGTTAATTTGGCAATACACCTGGATTCGTGTGCGGTTATAGTACAGGGTATTTGTTGAGTCAATTTCTAATTTGCTTAGCAAAGAATCTTCCATTAGGCCCATAGTTTCAATCATCTATTTTGGTGAACGTCTTTTAGTCACCTGTTTGCTACCCTTTTGTTGTATGATTTAACTGGGTTTATCCTATTTTATTTTGGAATTTGGTCCATTTTCTGTGATATTTCTACTTTCAAGCATTCATCGGTTTTGGACTCCCGGATGTATTTCATCTAGTCTAATTTGCAATTGTCTTCACTTGCATGAAATGTGATATTTGGTTTTGTAGTTTACAATTCCTGTAAATCCAAGTAAACATTATTTTTAATTACAGGATGTTGCTGTGAAAATTCTCATGGAACAAGACTTGTATGCTGAACGATTCAAAGAATTTTTGAGGGAGGTATGAATTGGGTGACAATTGGAGCATACTTTGTTCATGAGATTAAGGAAACATTAATTATAAGCTCACGTTCTTGATATGATTTATAATTTCACCCAAACTTTTTGTTAGGTGGCAATAATGAAACGTCTACGTCATCCAAACATTGTTCTTTTTATGGGAGCAGTTACTCAGCCACCAAACTTGTCCATAGTGACAGAATACTTATCAAGGTTTGTTGTTACTGCTTTAATCTCCTTGTTTCATTTTTTAATACCCTCGTATTTGAAAAATTAGAAACAAGGGAAAAGTTCATGTCTTCTTCATAGGATTGAACTAATGTCAGAGGTTGAATTGTTAATCTTGCAGAGGTAGCTTGTTTAGGCTTTTGCATAAGCCTGGTGTGAGGGAGGTGTTGGATGAGAGGCGGCGATTGAGTATGGCTTGTGATGTGGTGGGTATTTAAAGGATTTACTTTCTTTTTGCTTTTTCTTTCCCCAACATCTAATGATATAATCCTTATATTTTGTTTATTGGATTGGTCTAAATCACCCCGCCTTTTTATACACACAGGCAAAGGGAATGAATTATCTTCATAGACACAATCCTCCTATTGTTCATAGAGATTTGAAGTCTCCCAATCTTTTAGTTGATAAAAAATATACTGTGAAGGTAAGACCCTGAATGTTTTGCTGCTGTGAGTTGTATAATGTTTTCACGTAATGGTCTAGTGATAATAAACATCAATATTTTGCCATTTTTGTTTACGGATTTCTTTTTCATGGATGAAATGCTAAGTGATCAACTTTTGCGGATAGTGGAATCTAGGTAGTTCTTAACCATTGTTATGCTGTTACAATTTACAAATGGTAAATGCAGCCATGGTTAACAGTTGATAACAGTTTATCAACTAGTGTTCCAAGATCATATCTGGCACCATGCATAGATGGTGCCAACTTTGTTTATTATAATGTAATTTGCTGCCTTGTTTGTAACCTATATCCAGTACCGTTTTAATTTTTTTAAAGAACGTTTTCAGTTTTGGGCATGTCTGATGTCTGCGGGTTGATACTGCATGCTTCAGAAATTTTAGTCAAGAGGGAATCTCTTGGGCTCTGACTAAGGAAGAGTAGTTGTGTTACACGTTTTCCTACACTCCTGCTTGCTGTTGCATTTTTATGGTGATTTTAATTAGCATAGTTATGATGTCGTTTTTCTATGTTCTGTTGAAGTCCATGTTGATACGGTTTCTAATTTATGGAATTCAAGTTTATTTGCCCTGTTGTAACTTGTACAAAATAGTTATGCAGTTTCAAAGTTCTTGTATCTGTTACCTCACATTGCCTGGCATATACATTCAGGTTTGTGATTTTGGGCTTTCTCGTTTGAAGGCAAACACATTTCTTTCATCCAAGTCGGCAGCTGGAACTGTAAGTTTTACAAATTCTTAATGAAGTCTGGTGTATTTCTTTTCAACAATCAATGTTTATGCTGCGATACTAAATACTGTGTACCTTTTATACTAGCCTGAGTGGATGGCTCCTGAAGTTCTTCGTGATGAGCCATCAAACGAGAAGTCTGATGTATACAGTTTTGGTGTAATTTTGTGGGAACTTGCAACGTTGCAACAACCATGGGGCAATTTAAATCCAGCACAGGTTCGTAGTATCTTGACCCAATCATTTAGTTTTTACGAGCTTTTGGCTAGTAGCATCTTGAAATCTTTGTTAAAAGGAAATGTTTGGTTTTCCCTAAAGATAGCACTTTATCGGTACCTAGTTTGTCAGAATAATTATAAGATGGCAAGATTTCTTAGAGAAAAACCAAGTTTTTAAGCACCATGAACAGCGTTGTACAACCTGACTATGGATCGCATGCTCGAATGACAATTGAACGATGAACTATCTGAATACGCTAAATGTAGACATCTAATATTGACATAAAGTTCAAATTTATCTACATGGTATTAAATACATATACTTTGCACTTTGTGGATTAACGTACGTATAAATTTGTACGTTCAATACCTTTAAAACTGAGGTTTTCTGCCACTCAGACTATTGTATAAATTTGTGTAATTGTTATGCGAGGAGCTAGATTCCTAACAAGCACAGCTCGATGTAAATCTGGCTCGTAGGTTGTAGCAGCTGTTGGTTTCAAGGGCAAAAGGCTTGATATTCCTCGTGATTTGAATCCTCAAGTGGCTGCCATAATTGAAGAATGCTGGGCCAAGTAAGTCTTACATTCTTTTCGTATACGGATCCTGTTAAGCAAATTTTACAGTTATCCATACTAATTGTTGATTAAAATGCAGCGAGCCTTGGAAGCGTCCTTCATTTTCCAACATCATGGAACGATTGAAATCACTGATTAAGCCTTCCACCCCCCAACCAGGGTGTCCCGATGTGCCATTGCTTGCCTGAATGGTCGTGCAACTCCATCAAAGCCTCCTTCATGCACATAATACAGTATTCTTTTTGACATTAAATGCATTGCAAAGGTACATGCTAAATTACTAAAGGTACGCTCTTCTAAACACTCGAGTTTCAGAATTAGCAACATAACATGTGGTCCGCTTTAGGATTTTTTTTTTATAGTTGGATCAAGAATTTACTTTATGTTTTATCATTTTAAGTTGTATTGCAATCAGAAAAGCTTGAGGGTGTTTCGTGTCTGTCCTCGGTATGCAGACGGACATGTTTCTGCCTGATTGCATATACATGTTCTCTTTCATTGTTTACAAGAATTATATCGTTTAACTCCATTGTTTTGTTCACTGATACATTCATTCAATCGACCGATTCTTTGCAGAACTGTGTGTCATGCACGTCTGTTCGCATATATAGCCGACTAGGACCTCGGATTTTTAATATGAACTGAAGTGTAAAGACTAAAGGGGTTTCTGTGGATTTTGTATTTTCAAATGTAATTAGTGGAAAAAGTTGTAGTATATCTCTCTCTCATAATTGTTGCATGTAAAGATTTAACTGGAATTAGATCAATGAGAAGAAACTTATTTGAGAACCCAGCGCTTTTTAACGGGGGTAATCATGATAGAATTTCGGTAAGACTGCCAACGATGGCCGGAGTTATTCAATGAACATGGTGAAATCAAGGGTTAGAGAAGCAATAAAGAAACAAAGGAGAAAGGAAACATAAAGAATGGATCTGATTTGGTTAAATCTAAAATCTCCATCTACACTTTTCATATCATACTAACAATTTTTGAATCCAAATGTTATGATGCTAGATGGGACTTGAGGGGAAAGGGGTGAAAATTAGGGTTCGTCGAGAGAAGGGATTGGGAATTCTACGGAGGAGAAAAGGGGAGTCAAAGTTAACAGAAGTTTTGAAGTTATTAAAGAAAGCGATAGCGTTAAGGAGAGCAAGCCAAACGGCAGCGTTGAAGAGAAGGAAGATGGGCCGGTACCTTACCCGATGGAACCCAAGACTTAAGCTGATAGGAAGGGTCCTCAACTGCACTGGCATAGTTGTTATCCACCTACAGTTGGCAGTACCAACCTTAGTACAATGTATATAATAAAGAGAGAATCGCCTCAGTGACCAAAAAAAAGTTATAATATACGATTTTAACCAATTTTTTTTGGATTTGCCAAAATGACCAACAAAATCGCAACGCGAAATAAAAATCGCAACGCGATCCCCAGAATCGCAAATCAGTTTCCAAAATCGCAACGCGATTCTTGAAAATCGCGATGCGATAGTACAAATTCGCATTGCGATTTTCCATAATCGCAACGCGAATATGAAAATCGCAACGCGAACACATAAATCGCAACGCGTATCCGTAAATCGCAACGTGTATCCGTAAATCGCAACGCGTATGGGTAAATCGCAATGCGTATCCGTATATCGCAACGCGTATCCGTAAATCGCAACGCGTATCCGTAAACTGCAACGTGTATCCGTAAATCGCAACGCGTATCCGTAAATCGCAATGCGTATCCGTAAATCGCAACGCGTATCCGTAAATCGCAACGATAATCCGTAAATCGCAACGCGTATCCGTAAATCGCAACGATAATCCGTAAATCGCAACGAGAATCTGTAAATCGCAACGATAATCCGTAAATCGCAACGAGAATCTGTAAATCACAACACTTAAATTTTGGGTATATAACACTGAAATCATAAACTAAATCCCTAAATCGCAACTCATTCCATCTCCATCTATCACTCTCTCCGGCGACATCCGTTCCTATATCCAACGACATCCTTCCCAATCCGGCAACAGGTTTTAGTTTCGCAGCTCGTCTGTTTAGTAAATTAATTTACAACCATGAAATCATCTAATGTTGATCATGTTTGGATAGATTTGTGTTTTGGAGGGTCATGGGATAATGTTCATGGTGTTTTACAATATATGCCTTTACCCATGAATCTTCACTAAAATTGTCTTTACAAAAGTTAACTTATGAAACTCTAATGCTACGTGTTTCAAATAAATTGAATTTAGAGCCCCTAAGTGGATTTAGGCTATCTTATCAGAGAAATGGTAAAGTTTATTTGTTAACCGACAATGAAGATGTTGAACGATTCATTGCTTACATTAGTGTTTCACAAGATGATGTTACATTGTATGTTGTTGAACCTAGAAGTAGTATTGTTGGGTCAGTAGCGGGTAGTAATCAACTAAGTTTTTCTCAAAACCCACAACCTTTCTCTAATCCAAATCCCAATCAACTTTCAGCACCAAATTCCGGTTTCGTATTGACCAGTTAGACGATGATGAGCCAACAGAAAAATTGTGAGTACTAGTCAGTATTCGAAATTTGGTCTTGGTCAATATCCGGACTTTGATATTGGTCAATACACGGATTTGATGATGTTTCAGAAGAAGAAACAGACCATGCGTGTAATGATATTGATATTGGTCAATACCCGAATTTGATGATGAAACAGCCGTTGCCGAAGAATGTAATGTTGATGATAATGAGGAGGAAGTTACGACTGTGAATGAACATGTTGAACATCCATTCTGTAATTCATATAATCCTGAAGAAGAAAAAGAAGAAGAAAAAGTCCCCGAAGAAAAGAAAATGCCACGGGCGTATAACTGGAATATGCCAGAATTACTTCAGATACCGGAAGAAGAGTTGATAAAGAAAGCAGTTGATTGTTACACAAAAGTTATTCGTATCAAGAAAGATGATTGTTTTGATACAAAGGAAGACTTGAAGATAGCTTTATATACGAAATGTGTGGAAGATGGCTATCAACTAAAAGTTAACAAATCAAGCAAAGATCGTTTCGAAACAAGGTGTATGATTGACAAAAACTGTACGTGGCGTATGATTGCAAAGAGAATAAAAGATTGCAAAATGTTTCAAGTTAGGACTTTTATTGATAAACATACATGTTCAAGAACCCAAGTTTTTCCTCACCATAGACAGGCAAACAAAAAGGTATTGGGTGGTTTTCTGGCTGAGTTAATGTTTTTGAATGGCAGGGTATATCGGGGACATGAAATTATGACTGACATGAATGCTCGGTTCAAGATTAGTATATCATATTCTCAAGCTTGGAGAGCCAAATGTTATGCCTTGGAATTGTTGAGGGGGTCGCCAGAAGCATCGTTTGCCCAACTGCCGGCTTATTGTCACAATTTAAAGCTGAAAAATCCTGGGTCGGTAACTCATATCAAAACAGATAGAGATGGACGCTTTAAATGATTAGTAAATCAATATAATTTTGTTGACTCATTTTTGTTAGTTACATGCATTTCACATTTAAATGATTATATTTCTTGTGTATATTATTTTGTAGATTCGTTCGTTTATTACTTGCATGCGCCCAGTTATTATAGTTGACGGAGCACATTTGAAAGGTCGATACCTTGGAGTAAACTTATAGCAGTAGCCATGGATGCTAACAATGGGATATTGCCAATAGCTTACGGGGTTGGCAAATCTGAAACCTCTGATTCATGGACAGGTTTATGGGGCATCTTAGGGATTGCATAGGTCCTATTAGCAATCTGACAATCATATCCGATAGGGCAAACTCAATTGACAACGCTGTTAGAAGGTGTTTCCCAGATGCTTTTCATGGACTTTGTGGTGTTCATTTGTATAGAAATCTAAAATCAAGGTCTGCTGGTATAAAAAAGCACAAATGGACATACTGGAAGGCTGTAAAAGCTTATCGGGAAGTGGATTTCAATAGCATATAAATTGTTTAAGACGTGTTTTGCCTCAGTGTGCTCAAACACTAGAAGATGTCGGGTTTGAAAGATGGTCAAGAGTACATCAACTTGGAGCAAGATATGGTTTCATGACGTCTAATAGTGCAGAATCAATCAACGCTCTAAGTCGTCATTCCCGGAAATTACCCATTACTATGTTAATGGAGTTTTTTCGAGCCTCTATTCAACAGTGGTACTACAAGAAAAGAAACCATGCAGGTATTATTTCTTTGAATTCGTAACTTATCATATTTATATTTTACTAAGTATTGTTTATTTAAATTTACAGGAACATTGGAACATCGTGTTACACCATGGACTGAAAAAAAGATAACGAAACGTGTTGTGAAGTCAACGTCATGGAGAGTTGAACCATGTTCAAACACTTTGTTTCAAGTACTGGATAATAACTTAAATGGCTAGTCGATCTAAATGCAAAGACGTGTAGTTGTATGAAATGGCAAACATCTGGTTATCCGTGTGGCCATGTTATAAAAGTTGCTTTCATTTAAACCAAGATGATTCAAGCGCATACGCTATGGATTGCTACACTACAGAAGTTTCGAAAGACTTATGCCGAGATTGTCTACCCTATTCCACATCCTTCTGAGTGGGACATACCAGATGACTTACAAACAGTTTTGCCACCAGCCATGGACAGAAGGCTACCTGGCCGACCAAAAGTCACGATCGTATACCGTCTAAGGGTGAAGAGAAGAAGAGATCGACATGTAGTCGGTGCAAGGAAAGTGGTCATACAAGGTTGACATGTGGATCACCAGTGCCATCAAAATCATCTTTTCCTCTACCAAAATAGGATCCTCATCAAAATCCAAAGCTCATATGGTGTCAAGCAAAAGGCAATCATCTTTAAAATCCCAATCACGATTGGCTTCACCTTTTGAGACTGTTAACTTAGGTGATTTTTAAATGCAAACGTTGTATTATGTGGATTTTATGTGTGAACTTTTAACATTTTCAGTTGAATTAATGACTCAGGCCAACCATTTTGACTTAACCAACTCTTGTTATTCAGTTGTTATCACTATTAGGCATGCATTTGACTATCGCAACACGGAAAATACAATCGCAACGCGAAATGAAAATCCCAACATGAAAATCGCAATGCGGAAATGAAAATCGCAACGAGAGAATCGCAATGCGAAATGAAAATCGCAATGCGAAATGAAATCGCAACGACAGAATCGCAATGCGAAATTAAAATCGCAATGCGAAATGAAAATCGCAATGCGAAATGAAAATCGCAATGCGAAATGAAAATCGCAATGCGAAATGAAAATCGCAATGCGAAATGAAATCGCAACGAAAGAATCGCAATGCGAAATGAAAATCGCAATGCGAAATGAAAATCGCAACGAGATAATCGCAATGCGAAATTATAAACGCATTGCGATTTTCATTTCCGCATTGCGATTTTCATTTCGCATTGCGATTCTCTCGTTGCGATTTTCATTTCGCATTGCGATTTTCATTTCGCATTGCGATAGTCATTTTTGCCTTCAACATAATGCAGATTGAAATCAACAAAATCAACCATTACATTTCAATCAATTAAACAAGCACAAATAAGAATTATGTTCGCATCAATTACACAAATCAACTTTTACAAATCATCTTTTACAAATCAATTAAACAATCAAAAAATAAGCAATAATTCTTATTTCCGATCATCTACTATTGAATCAACTTTTACAAATCAATTAAACAATCAAAAAACAATCAATTAAACTATTGAATCAACTTTTGCAGCTCGACATCATTTTCACGCAGTCACTTCTGAGATTAACCTGCAGAAACC